CCCCCCAAACCAACAAAATGAAACTCACCCTCTTCTCCACCAAATCCTACGACACCCACTACTTCACCACCACCCTCACAGCCCTCCAACCCACCATCCCCGAGCCCATCACCCTAACCGCGCACCCCTTCCCGCTGACCCTGTCCACCGTCCCGCTCGCCCGCAACAGCACCGCCATCTGCGTCTTCGTCAACGACAGCCTGCCGGCCCCGGTCCTCCAAGCCCTATGGGAAGTCGGCGTGCGCGCCATCCTCCTCCGCTGCGCGGGCTTCAACAACATCGACCTACCGGCGGCCGAAGCGCTGGGCTTCTTCGTGGCGAATGTGCCCTCGTACTCGCCCGAGGCCGTGGCCGAGTTCGCCGTCGCGCTGCTGCAGACGCTCAACCGCAAGACGCACCGGGCGTACAACCGCGTGCGCGAGGGGAATTTCAACCTGGAGGGGTTCCTGGGGATGACGCTCCATCAAAAGAAGATCGGGGTGGTGGGGTTGGGCCGGATTGGGATGGCGTTTGCGCGGATCATGCGCGGGTTCGGGTGCGACGTGGTGGGGTTTGATCCGGTGCGGCAGGAGGGGTTCGCACGGCAGCAGGGTCAGGGTCAGTTGGGGACAGGTGGGGGGGAGGCTGAAGCTGGAGCTCAGGCCGGAGCTCAGGCTGGGGCGGAGGGGCCAGCCGAGGAGGAGGACGAATTCATCACCCAGTTGGCAGGCCGCTACGTCGGCACCGTCGCGGATCTGCTCGCGCAGTCCGATATCGTGAGTCTGCACTGCCCGCTCACCGAGGCCACGAAGCACATCATCAACGCCGCGTCGCTGCGCGGGCTCAAGCGCGGCGCCATCCTGGTCAACACCTCGCGCGGCGGGCTGATCCACACGCGCGACGCGATCGGGGCGCTCAAGGCCGGCACGCTGGGCGGGCTGGCGCTGGATGTCTACGAGCAGGAAGGAGATCTGTTCTACAATGATCACTCCGCTGAGATTATTCACGACGACACGCTGATGCGGCTGATGACCTTCCCCAATGTGCTGGTCGCGGGCCACCAGGCCTTCTTCACGCAGGAGGCCCTCGGCGAGATCGCGCAGGTGACGCTGTCCAACCTGGCGGACTTTGTGGGCAAGCGGCCGTGTCGGAATTCGCTGGTGCGCGAGGGTCACTTGTTTGTGGAGGAGGATAAGCAGCCTGTGCGGTTGTAGTGTCTGGTGTATGAGGTTGATGGGGTGGTGTGGATGTTATCCACTTGTGTTCAATTTCACTCCAGGGCGGTTTCTCGAGAGGAATTGTGGATTTCAAACTCAAATATGACCATGATCTTGCTTCCATGCCCTGTGGGCTACTCGTGCCAATCTGTAATAATTCCTAGATTTGTTGGCAGCACTTATGCTTGATCAACTAAGTCTCTAAGGACCGGTGGGGATGACGGTCCGCCTTGAGGCTTCTTGGGCAACCGCCTTCTTCAACAAGCCTCTATAGATATGAATTAAATCTGCTGCCTTCGATGAGTGCGGAAGCTCCAGGTTCAACACGCTGGTGGAAGCCACACGGATGGCAATCCAGCTCACCAACCCTCGAAGGCACCCGGAGAGCACGCCGGGTTGGAATCGGTTCTTCCTCTCCGATACGCATATCAGGAAGAGAGGGAAGGCTGGGTTGTAAGCGATCTTGGCAGATCAGCATGTACTAACCTGCTATGCTGAGGGAGCTCTCCAAGACAGAGATAACTAACCCAATGAGCCACACTAGGCGCCAGCTGGAGGCTCCCATTTAGCAAAGGTGTCCAGTAAGTATGCTTGATCACCAAGCCCAACTAATCATATGCACCTAGAAATCATGGAATCCGTCCATCAGTATCCCAGCAAGGCAAAGCAAGGCAAAGACAGGTTCAAGATTGCTTATCGCTGTCGTTACCCATTGGCGATATGCAAAGTGTTCCAGGAGTGGCGTAAGTGCAGCTACACAGCTTCATTTTATGCCTTCATTGACTAGATAGTAACTTATAGAGCCGTCACCGCCCAACCCAACCGCGGCCAGAGTGGTCAGTGGATTTTCCTCAACGTACTTTCCCTTGTTCTTTCCCAACGGTGCTGACTATGTTCATTCCCTGGCTCAGAAAAATGGAAGGTTTACCTCTGCGATCGATTCTGGGGCACCGGTCACCTCAAAGACAAACGCCCAAAGAACTCCCCGCAGGACTTGGAGACCCTGCGAAGTTTTGAGCATATCATCGTCCATGAGCTTCTGCACTGCGATGTAGTGACAGGTAGTAATCCGAGAATCATTGATGAAAAAGCCGTCCTTGCGAGCTGGCCAACAAAAGTGGTGCGTATCTTACCAGTGGTCATAGCCATGCTATTCATCCTCCTTGAAAAGGCCACTGATTCAGAACAGGACGTATACGGGGCCAGTCGGGGTTCCGAGTACGCGTGGCTGTATGCAGCTAAGAAGAAGGCCAATTCCGTGGTCAAGGAGAATGGTAAGTCCTGAGTCGTCTGAGAGGAACATCGCGATCCGCAGCGGATCGACGTGCTAGCGAACGATTATGCCTGGTTCTATACGAACAATTGGGTCAACGACGAATGGAAATGGCATGATGATGATGGGGGAGAAGACGGTTGAAAGCCAGTCCTTACTGGCGGCCAAGGTGAAGAGTTTACCTATCGGGATTCGGGCGTACTGTACCGTGCGATTCGCTTACATAGACTACTTTGCTTGTGATGAATCCTTGTGTAGATTCGTGCATGAGTTCTTGCTTGTATAGACTATCTTACTCACAGGTTTTATCCTACCCGCAGGAACTATCTAGTCTGTATAGACTTTTGGATAATTCCTCGAAGCAAGTGCTCGCATAGACTTTGCATACTGGTAAGAATTATTCTACTTGGATGGATCCTCGTGTAAATCCTTGCTTGGATATTATTTTACCTTACTTGTAAAAATCACCTTGATCGCATTACTTCTCACTTAATTCATTACTTATGTGATTCGCCTGTACTTCACTTCTATAAATACTTGATAACACAAGTATTATTAAGTGATTGAAGGATGCTTCGCATGCCTTGGACACCAGCTGATCACAAGTCATTCGAAGGCCAGGAACTTGTATTGTACAACTCATTAGCTTTCACGCAGCTAGGCCCTCCAGAACTCAGTCACCAGAAAGATAACTCGACCGTTCCTCATCCGCAGCCAACAACGGCCTCCTCTCCGCATCACCATCACCACCACAATACCCTCTCGCCTCATCAGCCCCCTGTCGCAACCCCAAATACCCCAAAACCCCCTGCCCCACCGCAAAAACCCCATCATCAACAGCCACATACCCCAACTGCACCCACCAGACCAGAACCAACCGTAACCAGGACAGCGGCGGCGGCGGCGGAGCCGGCTCCGACGGATCCCGCGGCGGCGCATACCGCAGGAGCTTCCACACGGGTGCCAACCGAAAAATCCAAAGCACCGCCGAGACAGCGAAAATGGCCGCTTGGAGGAGACGGGGCCGGGCGAGAAGGCGGTTGAGGTTGTTGCGTTCAGGGGTTAGGGTGTTGGCGGCACGTGAGGAACTTCTAGTGAGGTCGTGCTGCTGCCGTCGCGCCTGTTTATAGAAGCCCAGAACCGGAAGGATGAGGGTAATGATCGGCAACAGTAACATGTGGGCTATGAGGAGTACGGGGCTGACGGTAAGGTCGTGTATCTCGCAGTTGTGGGGTTTGTTTGGCGGGCACCAGATGTCTGTTGTGAGGTCTAGGGCCAGGGGGATAAGGCTGGAAAGGAGGAAGAAGATGTAGATTGCTAGGGCTAGGAGGATGCGGAGGCGGTGATGGGGGCGGGTCGGGGGGGTGTGGTAGAGGCATAGTGCGAAACTGGGAATGAGAAGGGTTAGTCTTCTGGAGGATGTGGGATTGGCCTGGCTAGTAACCTACAAGATGTTGGATAGAACCCAGATCCCCAGCACCTGGGCGAGGTTGATCCAATCCAGGGCGGAGACTGCGATCTCGTAAGGGAGGTCGAATTCGGGCAGGTCTTCCAGTCGGGATAAGGTCCACAGCATGGCCGTGCTATAGGCTTTGATGAAGACGTGGTCGGTGGCGCAGAGCAGGTTGAAGAGCAGGTGGGCCGAGGAGATGCCTCGGCTGTCTTTGGTGTGCCATACATGCCGGATTGGGGGGATGAAGGAGGCCCAGGTTAGGGTCAGGGTGAGCCTATGGATTCTTTAGTTGGTGGCATTGATGGTTATGGCGGTATAGGTGCTGGTGGGTCTTACCCGCTGAGGAGGACTAGCAATCCCATCGGTTGATATGAGTTGGTGCTGGATTGCAGACGGCCATAATGTCGTGGGATGCACGAGAAGAGAAGAAGAGCCCGGGGAAAGACCCTGGTTCTTAAGGCTGTACAGGAGTGGATGCAGCAGCCTTCCCACTACGTTCGTTAGCCTCCGCTAGCGTTTTGGATCGGATATTTAGGGTTCGAGGTTTTTCCTGGCAAGCTAGGAAGATACTTACAGTCTAGACCAATTGCTCTTCTTTTGCCAATACTACTGGGAGCTTGATGAATTTAAACTAGAATCACCCTGAACGGGCTTGAAGGACTCACTACATTGGGTATAAAAAAGGGAAATAAATAGAAGATAATCGACACAGGCATTGATGGTGGGCGGACAACCAGATATTATGCATCTCCTTACAGAGGCACCAGGATGCGCAGAAAGTCAACTCGCCATTAGACGACCAAAGGAAATGCGTACCAACATGATTGACAAGCAAAGAAAGAGATGAAATGCATCCCACCAGGGTAAAAAGAGAAAGCCAAAAAACGACAGCAGTCGGATTTGAACCGACGCCTCCGAAGAGAATAGATTTCTAGTCTATCGCCTTAGACCGCTCGGCCATACTGTCTTATCTGAGATGTTACTACGTCAATATAATACATACTCATGTCAGAGCATCATAGCATCAGTGCACTTGTCGTAACTCGTCTAACTATAGTTCATGCCTGTCAATTGGGAATTGTGGTTGCGAACGCTAATGTGGAGAAGATACAAGACGATCAGACAGAGCCGACTAATACGGGGGCATTGGAATGGCGGTACGGCATCAGTATGAGGTCGACAGGAATGACACTCCTTAGGTGGGATTTCCGAGCCAGTCAGTGAGCTCACATTCCCGTACACAAGCCCCTTATCTATACCCCAGCCCTCCCTTATGCATCAAACGACAAACAACATAGTATATATACCAGACCCAAGAACAACAACAAAGAAAGAACCCAGATATCAAACCAAATCATCTATCTTAATCATCATCGTCATCATGATCACCAAATATACCAAGTATATACCCCCTCCAACCAACCTTCATCTCCCCTCCCCCTCGCCCTCCCCAATCATCCCAACCAACTCCTCATACTCGCCCGTATTCCTCAACATATCCCAAAAAACCCCCTGCTTGGCCACAAGGTTACGCGGCGAATCGTTCCTATCAGAAATAAATGAGTCAAACTTCCAACCACCAACCACCTCATAAAAAGATGGGGAAAGGAGGGGCAGGCAACATACTCAACAATCTCCCCACCAGCCATAACCAGCACGCGGTCGTAATCCATAATCGTGCGCAGCCGATGCGCGATCGCGATGATCGTGCAGTCCGAGAACATCTCGCGCAGCACCTGCTGCATATGCATGTCCGTCTCATGGTCGACGGAGGCCGTCGCCTCGTCGAGGAGCACGACCTTCGAGCGCCGGCAGAGCGCGCGCGAGAGGCTCAGCACCTGGCGCTGGCCCTGACTAAAGTTCTCGCCGTTGGCAGCGACGGGGGTGTCGAGGGTGAGGGGGCGGCGGGCGGGGTTGTTGGAGGTTTCCTCGGTGGACGAGGATGGGTGCGCGTGCACGTGGTCGGGAACGGGGATGCGGATTGAGGAGGTGCAGGCCGATAAAGCCGACTGCAGTTCGGATTCGCTAGACTCGCCGAAGGGGTCCAGGTTCGACTGGACGGTCCCGGAGAAGAGGACGGGTTCCTGCGGGATCAGGGTGACGCTGGTGCGGAGGCGGTTCAGCAGGACCCGACTGACGTCGACCCCGTCGATAGTGATGGTGCCGCCGACGATGTCGACGAACCGCAGCAGGGACAGTCCCAATGTACTCTTGCCGCTTCCGGTGCGGCCGACGATGCCGATGCGTTCGCCCGGGTGAGCGATGAAGGAGACGCCGCGGAGGACGTCGGGGCCGTCGGGCTGGTAGCGCGCGGTGACGTTGGCGAACTCCACGCGGCCAGAGGTGGGCCAGCTGGCCGGGAGGGTGGTCAGCGCCTTGTGGTGCTCTTCCGTGGTGAGATTCTCCTCCGGCTCGATCTCGGCGTATTCCTTCATGCGCTGGAAGGAGTTGAGCTCGATCTCCAATTCATTCATGGTCCGGACTAAGGTGAGAATCGTCTGGCTGAGGCCGATGGCGTTGGTCAGCGAGAAGCCCACGAGGCCGGCTGAGCCAGACCAGAAGTAGGCGACGCAGCCGGCTGCGGCGGAGACAGAGGCTGCGCAGAAGTCAGACCGGACGGAAACCCAGCGGTTGCAGTTGTACTGCGCCTCGGCGGTGCGCGAGTGCACAGCTAGCTTTTCCGCTAGCATGGCCTGGAAGACCTGGTCCATACCAGTACGGGCACGGATCACGCTCAGACCAGAGATGGAGTCGGTAAAGTGTGAGAAAACAGGGGAGTAACTGATGGAGCGAAGTCGCTTGATGGACACCTGGGCACGCGTGTACATCTCGCCCATGATGAAGCCCGCGGAGCAAATAATCGCGGCGGGGAGTGCGAAAATCGGCATGATAGAGGCAACGCTTGCGATCCGAAGCAGGAACCGCAGTGCGTTCTCGATAGACATCCGCAGCCACTCGACCAGAATCGTGTCCATCGACCGGGTGTCGTTTCCGAATCGATTGATAGCTCGTCCGATAGGGTTCTGATCAAACCAAGAAATGGGAGCTGAGAGCACGGCGGTCACCAGCCTTTGATGCATGGTTTTGGCGGCTACCCAACTGCCATACTGGTATATAAGATTGTTGCAGACCTGCAGGAAGAGGAAAGTAAAGATAGCGGCCGCATAGATTCCCAGGTAGAACAGCGTGTCAACGTGTTCCTGTTCCTCGTACGCCCCTGTCCATATAGAGAGCCAGTAGGTGATAGAAAAGTAAGCAAACTGAACCGAAATGGTTGCTAGAATGACAAGAGGGGCGTAGCCGACGCCGCCAAACAGACGCATATAGCTGAACACTAGATAAGCAGGTCAGCAAGGCTCGTTCGTGGTAGAATGGTACCATAAACTTACTTAGTGTGCGCGGGACACGTCCAGTAGAAGATGTTTCTTCGACAATTCGTCCTTGCGCAGTCTTCTGTTCTGCTACAGAGAGAACAGGGGGCACCGGAAGATCCGCGGAGTTGAAGGGTTGCTCTACCACCGGCTCGTCCCCAACTGGTACTAAATCTGGCTCACTGCCAGGCGTGCTGCAGCCTGACGGCGACGCAAGGACCGGTGTGAGCGTCCTCGGAAGTGCTTGAACGGGGACCAGCTTGCCATGTTCGAGGCGAACAATGGACTCTGCATCTTGCAAAGCTGCGGGGTAGTGTGTGACCAGAACGACAGTCCTATCCTTGAGCATGCCACTGCGGAAAGACTTCTCGTACACAAGACTCGCAGTGTGGGTGTCAAGGGCAGAAAATATGTCATCTAGAAGTAACGTCGAGGATGACGAATACAAGGCCCGCGCAAAGGACACTCGTTGCTTCTGACCCCCCGACAGAGATGTACCTTTCTCTCCTACCCGGGTCATGTCACCAGCGGGGAGCTGTCTCAGATCCTGCGCCAGGCCACTAGCTTCAATAACCGTGGCATACCTACTCTCGTCGAATGGACTGTAGAAAACAATGTTCTGACGAATTGTATCATTCTGGAGCCAAGGAGCCTGCGGAACATATGCAACGTCCTGGGGGCAAAATGCAGTACCCGACTCCAGGACGGTCTCGCCCAGACACGAGAGCAGCAGCGTCGTCTTCCCACTTCCCGTAGGGCCGGTTACGACGTTGAGCGAATTCGGCTTGAACCTGATGGTCACATCCTGCAGCCTGAAAGCGGCGACAGGAGATGGCTTGAAAGTCGCACGGATCAATTCCAGCGGACCCTCGGGATGCCGTATGATCTCGCCCGCTGTCTCGAGAAAGTTGTCAATGCGGCGGAGCGACTCTGATCCCTGCGCGGTGTATCTGCTGACGTTCGAAAGCCAGACGAACAGGACTCGCAGCGTTTCCATGATCGACAGGGAGGTAAAAGCGACAGGGGCACGGAGTGGTTGACCTGTGAACAGGATGTAGATCGAGAACATGACCAGTAAGCTCAGCAGTGGCAACAGCTCTCCAGCCATGGAAATTAACGCGGCATACACACTCCTCCACCACAGACGGCGTTGCTCCACGCGACGAACATCATTGATTGAATCTATGGCAGCGTGTTCCCAGCCAAAGTACTTCAAAGTCCGGATCGAGTTCAGGTATTCAGAGATCTTGGATAACCGAGCATCGGTAGCCCGCATAACAGAGCGTTGGATGCGAGATACCTTCCGTGACGCCAGAGCAGGAAGGGGTGACAAGCATAGTAACGTCAAGACTCCGAACAGCGATGGCCACCCAAGCATCTGGTACAAAAAGACCAGGGCCAGTGTGATAGATATCGGGCCTGCAGTAGCCAAGTAGAAGATATCACGGGAGTTGTAGATGGCGTCAACATCGTACGACATCAGACTCGTCAAATTCGCTTGGCTTGATTCCGGCGTGCCCTTTGGCCCTGCGCCGTGCCGAGATTTCTCCTTCTTAGTATGATGGTGATGCTCGCCGACAGAGCCATCGTAGATATAAGAGCGCATCGCAGTCTGATACAGCTCCTGAACGAGGGAAACGTTCACCCGAACAACAAGACGAGTAGAAGTGAAGATATACTGCTGATAACACAGCGAGCGCGTAATCGGACCAACAAACAAGAGCGCAATCCACAGCGCCGGGTGGAAAACCGCACTCTCAGGATCCTCCAGATACGCCAGTAGTCGCAGCATCGAATACGGCGCCATGAAATCAATCACCGCCGTCATGGCCGACCAAGTCATCATGGTGTTTATTTCAGTCTTCAGCAAGCGGCACAGCGTGCGAAAGGTCTTGCCGCCCTTGCGGCGCTGCCTCTTGATCTTCTCCAGCCACCTCAAGGGTTCGTCGTAGGACGGCAAAGGAGGGAGATCGTCCATGGTCAGATCCCGACGACAACCCCGGAAGATTACGTAGGTGATCCACTCATACGAGCAGTAGTAGGAGAACAGGGAGCACGTCTCTTCCGGGGACGCTGCTTTCTCCTCCTTCACAGAGCGCTCGATCTCCGCGTCGCGGATCATCGGCCGTCGTGGACGGGGGGTCCCGAGCGCGATCACCACTACAGCGGCCAAGCTAGCGACAATTCCCGCGCCAACGGATCTCGGCCGGTAGGTCGCGTCGACGATCGTCATGGGCACCAGATCCTGCACCACGGCCAATGCCAGAGCCGCGACCACCACGCCGTTCATGTGCCGGTAGAGTTGTGTCCGATAGCCCTTGTTCTTGCAGCAGATATAGCCCACGCCCAGCAAAACCACGTACGTCAACAACAGAGACCGTTTCCAGCTGCCGCTGTGCCGCAGGTCGAGCCAGCTCAGACAGCAGGCGGCGAGCGCAGCAGCCAGGTGCGCGAATGCGGAGGGTAGGTGCACCAGGATCTCCGACGGGCCGTCTGCTGCCGCTGCGGACTTGAGGTTATCGCGCGACTTGGGCCGACGACAGGCCCGACAAAGGAACCGCAGGAATATCGGAAACAAAGCAATCGCCCATGATGCCAGTAGTATAACCAGATGCAGGTTCCCTGTAGCTATAAAAGCCGACGCCCGCCGGGTGCGATTTTGCCATATACTTCTGCAAGATGGCCCGCGCTCGTTAGCAACAGCACCACACTGAAAATCTAGCAATGGAAACACGAGTGACTCACCGCTGAGAAAGGCCATGGACAGAAACATATTCAGTGGCCGTTCCCGGAAGCTGAGCGATCACAGGCCCGATCGCTTGTTGAAAGGGCGCAACGAAGTGCTCCATTGAGAGACGGGGGATGAGAGGAAGGGAGGAGACAGAGAGCACACAGCAAGGAAAAGGGCTCAATCAAGTCATGGGCACCAGCAAAGATCCCGTCATAACCGAGCACGCAAGCTTTGTGAGGCTTATCATCGGTCTCTTTCGTCGGCAACTGTTATTCGACGGCGGCAGCGCCCATTGCGTGTGCAGGAGGACAATTCGCCAGACAAAGGCCTAAGCAAGGGACTAGCAGCGCTAACTGGGGCTGGCGGGGAAAAGCTGGGTGTGGGAGGAGAGGGAGCTTGGAGAAGGGGAAATTGGAGAGGGGAAAGAGGAGGAAAGTGGTGTCATCGCTAACAGGAGGAAATTAACGGACGTTGCCGATAGCGGGGTGGGAAAATTGAGGTAAACCTGCCAATGGAGAGGATATCGGATCAAACCCTGGCTACGAACCATGGATGCGATGAGCGATGGATGGGATGCCATGAGAGTCGGTCGCTGCCTGTGGCTGCCATCTGATAAGCCCTCTGCCAATGAGAGCAACGGAGCACTCTGACAAACCGGCTGAGACCGGGTTGATGCCTAAGGCAGGCAGGTCTCTTTCACTCTACACTTCAAGCAACATCAAGGGAACTTCCATGGTCAGGACCACTCAAGGCTCGTGTAATATGCTGTACAAGTGACAAGATGTCAATACTACTCTGTCCACTGAGGCAGATATCATCCCGGGAATTCTCAGTCTCTCTTCACATAACAAAGACAATAAACGATAACAATAACTGAAGATCTCCGGTCCTTAGACTACGCATGAATGACAGGACCGTAGGTACAAACCCCACCCAACGGCTTTAGGGCTTGACTCAGTATAATCAACGCAGCAGACCCCAAAGAAGCCTGAACAATGAGGGAGACCATGGCGGGCCTTGTTCCTCCTCCGTCCAATGGCACAGCCTAGTGACTAGAATCTCAATTTTTGAAATGATCATAAGCCAGAGAATTACAATCTCCTTGGTATTACCCTGTGAAAGTTGAAACCCAAACTTCCCAATGAGCCTATAAAATGCTCCTGCCCACCCGCGATCTTCCGGCTCGTCCACACACCACGAAGGTTCACTTGAGTGCTCAGTGCTTTCTATATATGATACATCTATTAAGCAGAAGGGAAAGCTTTGCCGCGTGGATTGTAAGAGTTGTTTAGCGCAAATCTCAGAAGCCCGCATCTGTGTGCCTGTAAGCCAAGCCATCCAAACCCAACCCCCAAAAACATCGTTCAAAATGCTGGACTACCCCCATTATGCCGCTGACCTCACCAAGCAGCAGCTGCAAAAACTGATCGAGGTCCTGAGCATCGACAGCGATCAGGATGCCGCCGAGACCGAGTATCTCGGGCAGATCCGCAGCCCCCAGGTCGTGCAGCAGATCCAGGAAGCCATCCGCGGGCTGCCAACGGAGCTCCGCCAGCGCGCCAAGTGGGTGCGCATGCTGCGCCACGATGCGAAGGCCGCCGTGCTGTGTGAGGTGCACGAGGAGCTCAACGCCCTCGTCATCGGCAACCTCTTCGCGCTACTCAAGCGGGAGGTGACCTGCAACCTGACCTTCCTGAAGTGGTACCGCGAGTTCTCGCCCGAGGAGGTCAACAACCTCGTCGACGCCCTGCTGGCGGTCGCCGGAATGTGGTGGCTGCCGGAGTCCAAGGACGACGTGCCCCCCACGGGAGCCGTCTGCTTCCAGGAGAACCAATGCGAGGCGTGTATGCTGGCGAGGATCGTGGATGAGCCATGGTGCTTGCGCAATCTCCGCACAACGCTGGTCAGCCGCGTGCGAACCAAACCCGAAATCCGGATCCCCAAGTTGCTCCCTTTTGTGGACACGGCCATCAGATCATTTGCTCCTGAGGGAGAGGCGGCAGTCAAGGCCTACGGCGGCCTTCCGTGCGAGTTGGGCTACACGAGCAGCTACCTGGCCTTCCAGGTCAAGACCGCGCGCGCGGACGCTCTGTATGTTGCCGCTCGGCAGCTCCGTCAGGCGAACGAAGTGATGCAAAGGGAGCAAGCCCTGAAAGACACGTTGCGGCACCGCACGCGCTCTCGCGCAGCAGATCAACCGTACCAACCCAAAGATATCATCTCCAAGGAAAAGAACTCACAACAGCCAGATGTTCATTCCACGGTCCATGTCAGAGTGGCTCCTGGTTCTCGACGACGGAACGAGTCGGTCAAACAGCCCATACATGCCAGAACCACACGCTTGCCGCACCTCGACAGTATTGCGGAGGAGACAGGTGTTGAGGATGTCGTCGTCGAGGAGGCTACCAAAGTACATGTTGATTACGCGGGAACCGCCACTTTGGTAACCCCGAGCCATTCAAAGTGCGCTGCTGACAATGTGGTAACAGTTCGTCCCTTGAACGTGAAAAAGCCGAGTCTGGGAGAGGAAAATGCTGCCCTGATTCATAACGAAGCTGGCTTGCCAGAGGCCCGCATGGTGAAAGCCCCTAACCCTGACAGTTCGGATGTGGAGGAAGACAGGCTGGAGCACGAGATTCAAGCGTTGTTGCTTCCGCACATTGCCAAGGTGTCTCCCGTGGGTCCTAGATACTCTTCTTCGACCAGAGGTTTGACGCAACGCCGCCGGGCGGAGCGTTCCGAGGATCTAGATGACTTGGATCTGACCAGCGTATGTAACGAAATAGTTCGGCAAGAAAAAGCTCTTTGGACGCCGACCTTCGTTGATCATATAGTATCGCAACCCTATCATCAAGACGGAACCATCCTCGTCAGATTATAGTAGTATCCACACCGCCACACCGCCATGCGATCTGCGATTCCATTCTTCAATAAGTCCTGTACTAGCAGGCGAGGTTGAAAAATTGAAGTGATTTGGGTGGCTTCGTTGATTGCAGAGGACGACGGCGTTTGAAGGTAGCAAATTGAGTTTCCATGTACATTGCATCTCAATTATAATATAAGCTTCAGATAACAAAGCTAATAAGTAATAATGAAAAGAAGAGAAAAGTAAAAGCAGAAACCGGTCATTATTTCAAAGTCTCACAGCCATGCGTGGTAGTTCAGTTGCGGTCCAATGTCGTACTGAGCAAGCAGTAATGAGGCCATGGTACAGTCATAGTTATGGGTTCCGCGAGGCCGAAAAGGATATTAATACAGCATAAGACAAGGTCAAGGTAGCGAAGAGTAAACAGCGATATCCGCAATGATTAGGAGACGGCCTGCAACTCCCAAGACACCCGGTGAGTGTTAAATATTAGCAAGAAAATAGTTACAAGCAAACTTTAGGCGTATACAAGAGGGCAACGGCCGCCTTGATTTTAGAGGACGCTGCTGGCGACCCCGTGACTCACTCCTTTGAACCCATCGACGTGGGGGGAGAGAGTCACGGTTTTTCTGCGTCGGGGGCGCGAGGTCGGTTCGTCTGATGCCCGGCTGAGCGTGGGAGTTGAGGTCCCGGATGAGGTTGGATCGCTACTTTCGTTGGCGATGCCGGCAGCTTCGTTGTCCACCTTCTTCTGGGCAGCTTCGCGGGACCGCTCATAGCGGAGCTTAACGTCGCCTTCCCATCGAGTTTTGAATAGACGATCCCAGATGGTGAAGAAGGGCTGCGAGAAGTTGGTTTTGATGCCCCAGCTTTGGTGGTGGATATCATGGTAGGCCGCGTTGTTGGAGGTAAAATGCTGCAATGGGTCCCAAGGAAAAGCGTAGCCGCAGTGATCATCCACAGTTTTGATGGTGGAGAAAGTGAAAAACCACATGCCCTGACGGTTGCTCATGCCAGCCGTGAGGAATGCAACTCCAGTGCCGGCCGTATCAAGCAGAAAACCTTCGACGGGGTGGTTGTACAGAGCTCCGAACGCATACGGGACATACAAACGATGGTGGCGGGAATGGAAGGTCACTGATCGATGGTTAGTCTTATTCCAGGCTCTTTTGAATCTCAAGCCTCGCGCAGTCAAAAGCTGCTGATTCACTTACCATAGAGCCAACGGTTCATGTGCATTGCGCGGTGCAGGAAATACTGCCAGGTGTCGACGACACCGACGGCCCACACGAATTGCAGGGCAGGGATGAGGTACCAATAGAGAGCACTGGCCGCTGACAGCTCCCAGTTGGTGAAAGCCGGAACCACGGCTTCCACTCCATTGTCCAAAATCATCGACTGAGTGCATCCCGGGTAGCGCCCGCCAGCTACCGCTCCTCCCAGCATTGACCAGCCATTCTGCGACAGATTCTTGCTGAAACCCAATGCGTCGATCCCGACCAGCGCCAGCAGCTGGGGGAGAGCCTTCTGCGCCAGACGGAGTCGACGAGCCCAAACCGCAACATTGTATTCATCCTTACCCAAGTACTCCGGGTCATCGAAATACGCGACCGCCAGACCGGCCATGGTTTGAATGATTTGCTGAAGAATGACGTCCCTCACGACCTCCCAGCGTGTGACATGATTCCGCTTCAAGACTTCTGCGGGTGTGTGGAGACGGTATTGCGGGAAGTAGTCGTTGACATCGATGTAGTGATAGACCATCGACAGAGCCCAATAGGCAATGATGGGAAGCATGAGGGCGAGAACGTTGTCCGGAATGGGGTCGAGAAGTGGAGGACGCGGAGTCAGGGTATAGGCTGGAAGAGGCGGAAGGTCGAAGATGACCGAGGTATTGGTAGCCATGGCGAAACGGCTTCGCAGTCGTAGACTGACGACGATTTGTGTATGTAGTAGGATAGCAAAGGAACAATCGCTCAAGCACACTGCCGCATGGGTGGCTTGAAAGTGCCGATGTGGAGGACGAAGCTACTGGTGCTCAGTCCGCTTGCAGATCTGGTCGGCGCTTAGATCGAAGGGAGGCAGGGTTTGAGAGTATAAGGGAGTTCCAACTAGCGATAGCGATAGACTAGAAGGAGATGAGGAGGTGAAACCAGGGATAAATTAGAGAGATATAGTCCGCACTATCCGGAGGTAAGTGGGATGGGGGGGAGGGGAGGGTGGGCGAGCGATCACTCGAGCAGTGGCGGGTGATATTGGTGGTGGTGGTGGTGGTGGTGAGATCCTCTGTGCTTCGGAATCCTAGCCCAGGGGAGCGGCCCACCAGAAATGAAAATCAGGGGACGAACGAGGCTGACACTCCCGGAGAACTGTTGGGGCTGGTAGGTATAGTACAAGAACACAAAGTTCAAAGCACTCGAGACAGAAGAGAAAAAAGAAGATTGGGGTTCTTAGAGGATTCGATACAAAGGAAGGACGAGGAGGAAGAGTTTAAGGATAGTAGGAAATGATAGTTGAAGAATAGATCTTTTTTTTTTTTTTACGAGGGTAAGATAAAGACTGACTGGTTGGAGATTGGGAGGGGGAAACGAAGAAGAGGAGGCGAGAGAGAGAGAGAGAGAGAGAGAGAGCAGAAAGAGTAGCCGCAGTGGCACCACTGAAGCTACTCAGTCACTAACGACCGTCAGGTATGGTAAGATGATTGAGTGGTTGGTGGCTGCAAACAGCAGACGGGAAGGCAAACGGGAGGCGGTCAGGTACCCGAAGACAGACATGTGACGAGATAATTTACCGGATAGACATGGAGGGAGGCCGATATTGATACCTCAGGCAGAAAGAGGGGATGCTTATGCGCATGTTATGTCCTCCGTAGTACGGAGTAATATCAGATGCTGCAGTGTAGTCTGCATTATACAGCAAGCAATCTCTATCCTGCCTCCAATTCAATCCAAAGAGACACAATAACTACTGTCTTCCCTTACAGAACAGAAAACAACCCCACTTCTCTCTACGAGCACAGTATCAGATTTGCCATCGGACTTTTCCAGACTCCAGACTTTTTCGCTGATTTTCCCTCAGGCCGAGACAAATCGACCACTTCCCAAACCGGTTAGCGTATCCGTTTTGCCCCTCGAGGGAAAAAGAAGGAAAAAAGCCAGAAAAAAAGAAACGACCCCACCAAAGTTGGAGGGAAAACAGCGCCACTAAAAGCAATATTAATCTTCAACTCTTCCCCTCTTTTTCTCCTCTTCTTTTTCCCTTCCTTTCTTTTCCAGCCCCGTCTCTTTTTTACCCTCATCTTCATCTCTTTTCATCTTCACCCCCCTCACCAGCCAAAATGATTATCTTCGAGGTATGCTAATTCTTATCTCCTCTGCTTGCGTTTCTTCGTGATTGTATCTCTGTTTTTCTTGGCAAAACAACCACGTTGCTTTTGGGAGGGAAAGGCCGCTTTGCAGCCCAATGCCGCATGACAGACAGGCAACCCGGCAGGAATGTCAACAACAACATTACCAACAGCAGCAAGCAAGCATCCTGTACATGCTGCATGCAGTTGTCGCTGTTGGACCTGTCTCTTGCTCCTCTGCCGCTGCCTATCACCTCGGGATCGCAATACACCCCACCGTTTCAAAACACACGCCCACTAATGCATCAACCCTGGAATAGGACATTATCTCCGGCGACGAGATGGTCGCCGACACCTTCAACCTGAAGGTCGTCGACGGCGTTCTCTTCGAGTGCGACTGCCGCAAGTACATGAAGAGCACCAACGAGGACTTCCAGCTCGAGGGTGCCAACCCCTCCGCTGAGGGTGGTGATGACGATGAGGGTGGTGAGGGTGAGAAGGTCATGGTCCACGACATCGAGGACCAGTTCCGTCTCGTCTGGCTCAAGACCGAGGAGGGTCTCAAGCCCTCCAAGGATGCCTTCAAGTCTCACCTCAAGAGTATGCTCCATCTCAATCACACACAATCAAGAACTCAACCGGAAACAGCTGGCTAATTCGCGTCCCAAATAGGCTACATGAAGAAGGTCCTCGGCAAGCTCACCGAGACCGGTGCCAGCGAGGAGACCATCAATGAGTTCAAGAAGGGTGCCCCCGGTGCCGTCAAGAAGATCCTGGCCAACTACGACAACTACGATGTCCTCATGGGTCAGTCCATGGACGGTGATGCTATGTATGTTTACACTGAAGAAAAAAACCCACCGGAAACATTGCTAATCAATCTCCAGGCACGTCCTCATCGACTTCCGTGATGACGGTGTCACCCCCTACGCCACCCTCTGGAAGCACGGTCTCCGCGAGGTCAAGGTCTAAGGGAATTACAAGTCAGCCTTTTCAAATAAAAAGATTAATTATACCCCTTACTTGAACGTCCCGCTCCAAACCTCAAATCCTCAACCTTGTTGTGCGAAGAATGTTGTCATGAATCAAGAAAAATCTTGGTTTGAAATCAGCAAACAACCCTTTGTTGCTTTTTTAGACCAAAAGTCACGCCTCATGAATTCCATAACCCTTTTCAAATGTTTCCTCTATCACCATCGTTTCTCAATCTTTCCAGTTCGCCATTAATTGGTCTTCTGGGTACACATAAGGATCTGCCAAATAAAAGGTAAACTTTAGACGTTATATCATCAGACATCTGTCGAATTCGTCACATTGTGGGTATACATAGGATTTGTGTAGAAAAAAAAAAAAAAAACCAGACTCCACATTACCATCCATTCATCGAATTCGCTATACCGTTTCAACTGAACTATAAATACATACCCAAACTTCCAAATTCGAAAGAGGAAAGAGGTCGGATATCATCGTCTCTATAGATTCAACAACCTGCACGAAGGGGAGAGGGAGATCGAATCACTTTCATTTCTACTATGTATAAGTTCAATAACCCGCCCAATGAGACCGATGCGAGGACATCTCTCCGCCCGCACCCGCACCAGGACTACTGCCCTCCACACCCAAATCCCCAAACTCCAGCCCGGTGACCGGGTCGAGCTCCATGAGCTCGTCGGCGACGGGCAGATGCTGCCCGAAGACGGCGTCCCACTGGTCCCAGTCGAAGTTTAGGTTCGGATCCACCATGGAGGGCGGGGTGGGGACCCCGGTCATGGCCTGCGTGGCGGGCGAGGCGGCGGCGACATCGACGAGGAAGGCGGGCAGCGCCGGAGGTGGTGCCGACGGCAGGGATTGTCGGTTGAAGGTGAAGCCTGGGTTTAGGCCTGGCGGGAGTAGGGGGGCTGTGTTCATGTTCGTGTTCTCGGAGGATGTGGTCGAGGGGTTTCCGGGTTGGATTAGGGGTGACGAGGGGGACGGTTCGCCGCTTGGTTGTTGTTGTTGTTGGGCGACGGGGGAGGAGGGGGATGTGGAGGAGGGGCGGAGGTGGGGGTCAGGAGACATCATTTGGGGGCTGGCTGATTGCGAAGGGGATCTTCGCTGCTGCTGCTGTTGGTGATGCTGCTGGGTACTAGATGGGAGTTGGTAGCGGAGAGATGAGTTGGGGCGGATGTGAGATCGAGTCCTGTTGTGGAATAGCTTGGAGAAGTCCCTGGGCTGTCGCCGGGAGGCAGCATCTGCTTCAGGGGCAGATGTATGGTCATCGACGTTGGAGGCCACGCCCGCTTGGATCTGCGCCTGTTCGGACCATAGTCGACTAGGATCGAGTCCAGCTCGCTGCCAGGCCTGCTGCCGCAGCCTACGGATCATGTCCCAGGCCTCGCGACCACCATCGTTCAAGGGCCGTTGAGTCGAGATGCCATCTTCACCCCCTACTACTCCTCCATCCGGCCCTGTCATGGAGAAGATTTTGTCAATGTAGGCCCGTGATTTTGGCGCCTCAGCGCTGTAGGGCCGTTCGTAGAGATCAATGAGCATGATCATGGTAGCATGCATTGGCTGGTGATTGCCGGGCCAGCTCCATTGGAATGGCTGGAAATCAGGGTCGGTTGCAAGAGAAACAAACTTCTCCATGAAGCCATGACAATGGCGGAGAGCGCTACTCCAAGTCAGTAACTACCAGAAATATGATCAAGTGGGACGCACCTTTGTCTCGCAGCTGGCCAGATCCGGCTCTTTGCGTTCTTCAGAAAAGGTTGATAGGCGACACAGAATGCCTAGCACCCGTTAGCATAGATTACGTGTGCTATAGGAGACTGAAGTGAGTTTACGTACCTTGTCAATGAAGAGTGAGAGGACAATTCTGGCCCACTTGTGGAAAGACACAAGGACTGGAGAATGGTATTGCTCAGGACAGCCGTTCGGCCCTTCTCCGGGAAGCTCAATGTCGCTGCTGCGGTTTTCAGCAAGCGAGGAGGTAGACCAAGACCTAGTCGAGGGAACCGAAGAGACATCGGCCGAATCGGCTTCTGGTATACGGGAGACGATGGAGTTCAAGTTCTGCTGCAGCTCAACCAGAATCGACCTAAGCTCTTCCATATCCCGCCGTGTCAAGGGCCTGGTACCCAGCTGGATCTTCAAGATCCGTCGAACAGCACCTATAGAGCACAGATTAGACTTCCTATGCCATGATTTCGCGTAGATTGAGACTTACGGGCCATCGTATACTTCCCCCGTGCGGCCAGATAGTACACGTTGACCATCGAGGGACCGCCACAAATGGTTGGATCGTCCGGGTTGTCGGGAAGCCTGAGGCCGGTCATGACTAGCCGGTCATACTTTTCAGCCTCTGGGGTACCGAGCAAGGTATCTTTCACCTCGCTACTGTCGCGAACATCCCAGTAGTTCTCGTCACTGACCAATGGGGGCAACCCACTGGACATGGCAACCACACCGTCCATATGGACGATATGCCACCATATGCGACGACGATACTCTGCTTCACAGGGGCCAATACCGAATTTCGCAGGATCTCGATGCAACCCCATGGTTTGAGCTACCCTCATGGCGAGACTGACGAACAGACTGCTTGTTAGAGGCTCTTCTTCTTTCGCGAGTATCGTCTGAACCAGGAGATATGCAGCCAGGCCTTGCAGAGACGGACTTCGAGGGAAAGAGATTTTGGTTAACCATCTTGTCACTTCATCGTTGTATGCCTTGGAGAGCGTTGATCGGGACGACACATTGAATTCAGCCTTGATGGTTCGTAGTGATATCGTGACGGATCCACCATACCAGATGGCATAAAGCAACGGGATGAACGACGGGTCTGGACAAGGGTCGCCCGAATAGCTGCTGGAGTCATACCAGTCCCAGAATGAGTAGTAGAGTTTGTGTATGGTCGGTGGGTGGATCACCGGAGTGATGGCGTGAACTCCAGACATGAATCCTTTGTACAGGATGTGACTTTGTCGCTTTGTTGGCATGTTCTCAAGCATTTCGGGCTCAACCACCTTGTCCTTGACCGAAGGCGATTCACCTGATGGAAACAAGACAGATTTCTGGAACCTTTCTCCCCGGGAAGCCTGATCGATTGCAAGCTCGCCGGACACATCTGGAACTGGCTTCCATTGGCGGCTAGGCGTCGCTTCCATAGCTTCCGTAGTAGTATCTTCAGCAGAAGTGTCCTGGGAGTTCCGCTCATTATGCGAGCGGTGCTGGACCCTAAGTAGTTGATTGAGCTCATTGATCTGCATTCCCGTTAGCCAAAAAAAAAACTGCAGTAGTCGAAGATCCCAATTCGTACCTCATGAGAAATATAAGCCCAGTACGTAGTTCCCACATATCTGCATCACGATAAGCCACACAGCCCCTTCCCTTCCACACCAGAAAACCTACCTCGATCGACCTCCATCCTCCAAACTCAGATGACCCAAATTCAGACTCCCCACCGGATCGACCAGGTCTGTGGCATGACCGGCAGGGATCGGGAACTCATCCCCACTCGAATCCGCCACACGACGCGGGCTATCCGAGCGCGCTGTATCGGAAGCCTTCGACGCAGCCGCAGCCGCAGCCGCAGCCGTCACGCCGGCCACGCGAGGCTCTCTCTTAGCTGATTCCGAGCCCGCGCTTTGCAACAGCAGCCGCTTCTCTGACGGATCCAATGCCTGACTGTTGGTTTTACTGAGCCGCTCGATCATGGAAGTGAGCTTATCCAACCGCGCTTCGATCCCTTGCGACCCGAGCCTCTGCTCCGCCGAGCCGGACCGCTTCAAATGGCCGTAGATGGATTGAAGCTCATCCATGTCGTCGTCCAGCTGTTGCGACGACTCCCTCCTTCGCTTGACCCCCTGTCCGTCCTTGGCTTGCGCATTGTACGCCTCCGGGTCTTTTTGCGCGGAGACATCGTAGACACATTCGGTTTCGTTCTTTTGGCAGTTACCGCAGATTGGATGGACCTGAAGATTCGCAAGGCAGATGGAGTTAATGTCAGGACACTCGTGCGTGAATGGATGAGTTTGTATTGCAGGGACCAAATATACCTTGTCGCATTTCACCTTCCGTCTCCGACAGGTATGACAGCTGTAGCTGGCGCGGTTCCGCGTGATCTGACGACCTCCCGTTTTCCCGGCCCGCGGCGCAGCGGAGGAGGAAGAGGAAGCAGAGGCAGGTGTGGCATCGTAGTTGCTATAGCGTCGCGGAGATTTAGCGCTGGGATTGGCTTGCCCTGGGTTGGAGGGGTCGCTGGGAGGTGAGCTGGTGTTCATGGTCCCTCGGTCGCAGTGGCGGGGTGCTGTGATCCATTGACGGCGCACGAGGGGTGATTCATGGGGGAGGCTGCTGCGCTTCGGCTAAGTCTCTTTAGTCCATGAGTGAATAGCGTGATAAGACTGAGTAAGGTAATGACTTTCGCGCAGCGGGTGTGGAAATGGAGACAGTGGAATTATGAAAGAATAATTTCCAGTTGGCGGGGCTTCGATTAGGAGTGATTATTGATGGCATCCGGGGTAAGAAGAGCGTTATCGGCAATCGCCGTCATCTCGGCCAATAACAGCCGCCTCATACCCAAGCCAGCTACATACCGTCACCAGCTTGAGAACTTCCTCAACAAGAAAAAAAAAAAAAAAAAAATACGTCCCTCCAGGTCGGAGGATAGATGCGAAAAGGAGGGCCATTTGATGCCGGCGCACTCTTGTAAAAGGCAGGTCTTATATCTCCATTGAGAAGATAGCAGAGTCCCTCGCCGCATGGGTGTTCTATCCTACGACACAAACCAAAAGGAATGATGGCTCAATATCAACTTGGTATCATGAGAACAGCAATGATGCTCTTTGTATCTGCAAGCAACAAAACGCCTTTCGCCCATGCCCATGCAACCCAAAGCATATATACCACATGAACGCACCACAGGGGTGGGGTAGATCAGACACCCTAACCTAAGCCTTGCCCTTCTTCTTGTCTTTCTTTTTCTTTTCACTGCCGCTGGGAGCAGCAGGGCTGCCGCCACCCAAGCCACCCAGACCTCCTAAGCCGCCCATCATGTTCGCCAGATCCGCCATTCCGGGTATCTCGGGCATACCGGGCATGCCCTGCATGTTCTGCATCTCAGCCATGGCGTCCTTGAGCGGGTTATCGCTGACACCGCCACCGCTGTAGGCAGGGGAGTGGATGGGGAGAATCTTTCCGATCTTCCAGCCACGCGGAGCGGGGGGGGCGCCGGGGAGTTTCTCGGGCACCGGAAGTCCTCTGATTCTCAACCGGTAGGGCGATTCTTCGGTGGTGGGGTGAGCTTTGAGGTACTGCGCCACAAGGATGTATAGATGGTGTTCTAAAGGAAGAGATATTAGCGCTAACGCTCGTCGACTGGTGGTCCAGCAACTAGGGTGGTGTAAGAATTTGGCATACTGTTCTTGATCTTCGGGTTGACCAATTGGCCACTCTCGTCCTTCAGCATCACGCGCACGCGACCAGGGTTGGCCCAGTCCTTGGGATGCAACTTCTCCGGCTCGAAGCCCACGGTCAGCCCCATCATCTGCACTGCATCGACGATGTCTCGAGCCAATGGGTTCTCGACGGCCAGTTCAGCGCCGACCTTGCGGCCCTCGGCGCGGGACCGGGATTTGTCGAAGTATATGGGGTACAAGCATTGGTAGTGTTTGGGAATCTCGCGCGTGGGCTCCGGGGGAGGCCTTGTGGGCATAGAGGACGTGGTGGGGACGACAGCAGGAGAAATGATGGAGTCGTTGGCGAAGCTGGCGGAGGGCGCAACTTCCTCGGGGTCGGAGTCGTACACCTCCTCGACTCGGGCTGCTCGCGACATGTTGAAAGGTTTTGTGTGTTGCTCCGGCGAAGTTAGATGTGGGTTGGATATCGGGTCGTATAGGGGAGGACGACGGAGGACTTGGAGATGTGGGAGGGGGCTGTGTTTGAGGTGGAGAAGAGGTCCGTTTGGCTGGCTGGCCTTTCTGTGCGGAAGGGGAGTTTTAGTGGCTGGCCGGCCAACTGGTGCGGAGCGGGACACTTGCTCTTCCACCGCCCGCCACGGCTAAGTTAGAGCACAGCTCGTGGGAGCTGCAGGTTGGCGCATATACTGTCCATTCTAATAAGAATTGACAAACCGGTATGCTCTCAGGCTGCTCTTACGTGCTTCTAGTATATATACGAAAGCGCTTAAAGACCCTCAATAGAGTAATAATTTTCGCCATTATGGTTTCTTACCGAATCACACATCATCCGTAACATCAACAAGGTAGATCGGAGCACCTTGATGCTGCTAAGTTCCCTAAAATCCTAAATCATCAAGACGAGTATCTGTAGCATAGAGCTATAGTTGGAATCAGAACTCAAATGGACATCCGCTGTTGCCGGTACATCGCTAGGAATTCTTCGCTACCCTAGTTGGATGCTATATACTGTACGAGAGGAGATGGTCCATTGCCGATCATTGATCGCTTCTTATGACCCTATCTCTAGAGTAACCTCTCTAGCTCTCATATACTTATCTACCACTTATCTCCAATCACTCAAGTCTGGAAGTTTTATGAATCATCAAGTTATCACTGAGTCACTGTAAGTCAACCCCGGAGATCGGCCCCGTCGGCGGGGGCAGCCAACCACATCCTCGGCTTCTCAGATGGGATCGGCTTGCCGATTTCACCCCCGCTCTCCCCACACCTGAGGTACAGCCAGAACAGAGGTGAATGTTCTGAACTCCCACACATAAATACGAGCAATGTCCCTGCCATCAAACATGAACACACAGTTACTCTGGCTCATACACTTATCACAGCGATTGATACACGGATATCTCGATCCCAAATTTGCTCAACCATGACGAAACCAGGTACTGTAACAGCATGAGCGCACTATACATCCTGAACTTATACTTGCACCACTATACCTAGCTACAAGCAACCTTGGAATACTAACGCCAAGCCAGAGCCATCTACTCAGAGCGCCGTTCTCCACCGAGACACTCAGCACATACCCAAGAAGGCCATCGGTGGAAAAGGCTGCTACATCTACCTCGAAGATGGGACCAAGTTCCTCGACTCGACCGGCGGTGCGGCCGTCGCGTGTCTCGGCCACGGCCACGAGGAAATCCAGCAGGCCATCGTTGACCAAATGAGCCAGCTCTCCTACTGCCACTCCGCCTTCTTCAGCACGGAAGCATCCGAGGAGCTCGGTCGGTTCCTGACTGAATCGACCGGAGGTCAACTATCGAAAGCATTCATCGTGAGCTCTGGTATGAGCCTTCCCCTCGTTTTCCCCTTCTTCCCCAGTCCCTCACCCACATGTACGTACACCACTCGCACAGTACTAAGCATCAGCACCACCCAGGCTCCGAAGCAGTCGAAGCAGCCCTCAAGCTCGCGCGCCAATACTTCCTCGAGCTCCCCACCCCGCAACCCCAACGCACACGCTTCATCGCCCGCAAACCCTCCTACCACGGCGTGACCCTAGGTGCGCTCTCCGTCGGCGGCCACACCACCCGGCGCCAGCCCTTCGAGCCTCTCCTATCAACCAACACCTCCCACGTCTCCCCCTGCTACCCGTACCGCGGCAAGAACGCCAACGAGTCCGACGCCGACTACGTCGCCCGGCTCGCCGCCGAACTCGACGCCGAATTCCAGCGCGTCGGACCCGAGAACGTCTGCGCATTCGTCATGGAGACAGTCGTCGGAGCTGTACGTGTTACATCTATCCTTCCCTTCCAAAGCCATAACCCCACCCCCTCACAAACACCTCTAACCCCGACCTCCCCAAAAAATAGAGCCTAGCCGCCCTCCCCCCACTCCCCGACTACCTCCCCGCCATCCAACGCATTGTCCACAAACACGGCGCCCTCCTCATTCTCGACGAAGTCATGAGCGGCATGGGTCGCTGCGGCACGCTGCACGCCTGGGAGCCCGAAGGCGTGATCCCGGACCTCCAGGCCATCGGCAAGGGACTGGGCGGCGGCTACGCGCCGGTGTCGGGGCTGCTCATCCACGAGAAGATTGTAAAAGTGCTCGACGCCGGCACGGGGGTGTTTCGGCACGGTCAGACCTACCAGGGCCATCCGGTGGGGTGTGCGGCCGCGCTAGCGGTGCAGAAGGTCATCCAGCGGGATAACCTCCTCGAGAATGTGCGGCGGATGGGGACGTACCTTGGGAAGAAGCTGACGGAGCGCTTGGGGACGCATCCGCATGTTGGGGAGGTGAGGGGGAGGGGGTTGTTTTGGGGGGTGAGTTTTCCTTTTGCCCTTCTTGTTGTGTTTGCGGTATACATTGGACCAATGGGACGATGGCTGACGCGGATTCATGCACGGTGGTGTAGATTGAGTTTGTCAGGGATAAAGCGACAAAGGAGCCGTTTAGTCCGGAGGTGAAGGTGGCCGGATTGGTGCAGGAGATGGGGATGGATCCCCGGTTTGGTATCTCGTTGTATGCCGGCAACGGGACGGTGGATGGGTTACTAGGAGATCATGTGTTGTTGGCGCCGCCGTATAATGTCACCCAGGAGGAGGTGGATTTAATTGTTCAGAAGACGGGCGAGGTGGTTGAGGCGGTTTTTGAGAGGTTGAAGGTTGGAATGATGGACAGGTAGAAATGAGAGCGTGTTGATAACGGGAAGTACATGGGGAGAAGAGGTTAGCCCTGGATAGTTTAACAAGTGGCCGCTTTTCAATATTGTATGCAATTCGAATTAGCTAGGCTACAAGATCATGCACAAGCAAGAGTTACTCCCAATGGAAACAGTTTCTGAATCTTCATTCTCGCTCAGACATATACGCCCAGGCACAGCTTCGGCCCAGACCTAATCAAGAATTACAAGTACAGGACACGAAACTACAAGTATCTATACCTTGGCCTCGATGGCCGCAGCCTTGGAAATCGAACTATCCTCCTTGGTATCTCCGTTGGCGATGGTGGCAGGGGCCGGGCCCTCCTGCCACATGCTCGCCACCGTTTCGACGGCCCGTTCAATGACCACCCGAATCCGGTCCCTCAGCACTGCGTTCGCACACTCCACCTCAAGAGTCTCCAGCCAGACCCGCGCAACGTGCTTGTCGACCTTGATCTCGAGTCCAGGGAAGGGGATACCCAACGCCTCGAGACGAGCCGTCTCGGCCGCTTCCAGCTCCTCCATCGTTTCGTCATCGTCCTCTTCTTCCTCGTCCTCTTGCTTGATGGGTGTTTGGTCGCCACTCTCGCTTTTTGTCTCGGGCTTGGCTGCGCCGTTTGTGAGCCGGTTAGGAGGGAGCCGTGGACGCTCGATGGCCACG